GAGACGGGCAGACACACGGTCGCCCACACACAGAGACAGGGTGAGGCATTCACGGAGGCTGCCATGCATCTCTTGGTGAGAATTTTGGAAAAAAAATTCAAACATTTCGAAAAATTAAAAGGTCCTGGAAATTGTCGAAATAGCGTACAAAAGTAAAAAAAATATAACTTACTACTATCCAAATTCTTCGAAATTTTAAAAAAAATTGTTTTGTGTTTTTTTGGGAATTTTTTGCATATTTCGATTTTTCCAAATATTTGAAAATTATAATTTTTTTTAAATTCTCCGTACCCGATTCCTACCTGAACGGGTCTCTACCATACTCGGAATCTGTCTCACTCGGTCTTTACAAGACGCAGTCTGTCTCACCCGGTCTATATAGATCTGCTCTTATTAGCACGGCCTCCGCTTTGGTCGGTTTTGTCCAGGTCCCTAGAGCACACGATATCTGCCGGAACCAGTGTCAATCGATTAGTTAGTCTGGAGCAATGGCTTTAAAAATTCGAAAATTTTCGCCGGGGTTTCAGCTTAACGGCCCTGCCTTCTGGGAGAGAATTTTTGAAAATTTTTTGAAACTTTCAAATAGTGTCTAAATGTCCCTAAAAACCGAAAAAATTAAAAAATTTCAACATTTTTAAACATGTTTTCGAAGTTCAAATTCTTAAATAAATTTAATTTTCTGCTCTTTTTGAACAACTTCCAACAATTTTCATTGGTTGAAAATGTTTACAAAATTATCAACACCCTGCCTTTGCCGCCCCCTTTCTGGCCTATGTCCGGTTACTGGACTGAGCCGCTGTACCGGCCTCCGTCCCTTTAACGGCCTCTAACACACTCGGTCTCTACAGGACCCGGTCCTTCCGGACCCGATCTCGCCGGAGTTCCTTTTTCCAAATGCTCGCTTCCTGACCCACCGATTCTGCCGATTCGTATGACCCAAATTTTGAAATGAATTTTAGAAATTTTCAAAATTTTGGAAAAATGAAAAATTTTCGGGCATTATTGAATAAGAACAAAAAAATAAAAAAAATTCAAAATTCGAAAACAATTTTCATGCTCACTTAAAGTATTGTAAAAATCCTATGAACTTTCTCTATCATCAAAATGCAGCTCACTTGAAGCCGAGATTAACCAATGTTTTTTGAATGTTTAACTGCACATAAGCCGATCACTTGTTATAAAATGTTTAGTTTTTGTTTTTTTATTTGTAATAAAATATGTTATACTTAGATGATGTTAAAATTTATTTTTCTTATTTTATTTTGTGAGAACAGAAACACGTTCTCACCTATTACATTAATTATCTTTGGAAACAATCAAGTTTGTAAATAGTACCTGGTTGGTACTATGTTCATTTCCACTGAATTCTTTGGTTCAAGCAAAGTGCCATTACATCAACAGTCAAAACATGAAGTGTAAGGTCAACAACTATTATCGCAAGTGGGATGTATGTATCCATCACTAACTAAATTACAATATGTTGAGAATACTGGGTGTCAATAAAATGTTTTGCTGACTCCTTGCCAGACAACCAGTATCTAAAACAGCATATTATTTTCTGGCAAGACCTTGAATGAACATTTCTCTCAAACTGATTACAAAATTAATGTTTAATAGCAGTGATTGTAGATCAAAATCACATACAATCTCTGAATGAAATCTAAGTTAAGTTTATGTTTAAATTACATTCACAGCATGATATTATCGACTACGTTTTTCTATGTTGTGTTGCCCTGCGAATGTAAATGTCTTGCAACGAGCCAATACTGTATCAGGATATCCTGCCATTTATCTACATTACTACTACTAAATAGGTGTTATAGCCTGTTATAAAAAATCGACATTCTGGAGAACCTTTCTGATATTATTTTAACCTTTTCCAACATTTGGAAGAACTCCCTGAATTCAGAGTTTGCATGTGGCAAGGCCTCTACCTACTCAGGACAGCACAAAAACAAAACACACACACAAAAGGCACATCATTGTCTCAAGAAGGATTCAAATCCACAACCAATTTGAGCAACCGATCGCCATGCCTTAGACTGGCCAATGTGATCGTCTTTACACTCTTAATAATTTCAGAAGAAATTCTGAATTGGAAAAGAACATGAACTTAATTCATAACATCTGATGATAAAATGTATGCAAGTGTTATGATATGACTACATGGTAATTTAATTTGTAAATAAATGTGCACAAACTAAAGACTGAAGTATGATTTTTTCTCCTGCAATTAGTTGAAATTAGCATATGTTTGGAATGAGTCCAGGTATGAAACAGCTGCTCTGTAAAGGGATTCAAACTGTTCCTGGAAAAATAAGAAAAAGAAGAACTTTACATCCAACAGTTACTCTCACTAAAGGAATTACAATTGTTTAATATTAAAGTTTTGGAATCATTCACACAAGTTTAATGTACAGTGGGCGTGAAATTATGTGTGTCTACAAATATCATTTCTACGTTCATAGGCTGAAATATTCTTCGTACAAAATTTTAAACTTTCAGTAACTGAATTTGATAGAAGACAGTGGGAAACTGAAGTTCAGTGCCAGAGAAATGTGGCATTAATCATAAAAATTATGATATATCCCATTGTGTACAACAACCCATGTTAACCACAATATTTCTAAAATTTCTGGTTTAAAAGGGTGCAGTCACTCCTATATGAAATACTTGAATAAATGCCTTCCCTACTGCTTTTGCCTTTTGAATTTGTAGTGCTGCAATCAAAAGGAGTGAGCCGGTGTACGAGCTCAGTCGGTATAGTGACTGGCTACAGACTGGGCGACCGGGGTTTGATCCCCAACGGGGACAGAGGATTTTACTCTAGCCCCTGCGTCCAGACAGGCTCTGGGGCTGACCCAGCCTCCTATCCGATGGGTACCGAGGTCCTTTCCCAGGGTTAAAGCACGGATGGGGTATGATGCTGACCACTTACCCCCATCTAGTGCCCAGGTTAAGAATGAGTAGGAGCTATACCTCCACTCCACCCAAGCGCCTACATGGCGTATAGTGGGACAGCTTTACTTTTACTTTTTACAATCAAAAGGAATTTGTAACAATTTGGAAATCTGCAAACAGCATCAATAAAAATATTGATATTAACAAGCGCCTGAGAAGCTTATAATCATGAGTAGTCAGACAGGAAATTCTCAAGTTTTTATGGGACACAAAGGATCATTACTATGCGCGTAAGAGTATCTCTCACATTTGTGCTACATGTCTCATCCATCTCACACATTTTGATTTCAAGTGGTTAATAATATTTTGTGAAGTGTACAAATTATGAATTCAAATTGGTGCAATCTGTATATTATAGCATAATCAATAATGAATAATGATTTAAATCCGAAAATTTGTGAGGATAGGTGTATTATTACAACAAAAAACTTCTTGTACATATCCATTGTCCTTATGTTAATGGATAATGTCCAAGAAATTTGTTTTTGTAACAGTTTACGTGTTTTAACACTTGACATTTGGCAGCGGAATGCAAGTAGTTTTGTACAAAAAAATAGAGTGTTTTGAAATTACTTTACAAGTAGATCCTTTCCTTGCATGGTGTTCTTTCATTCTTAATTACTCAGGTTGTACTTCCTGAATCACTGATTCTTATACTTTATAGTAAAAATGTAAAACTTACAGTTAAAATTAAGTGAAATGTAAATGTTATTTCACTGAATAGTTTATTTGACCAAAGTTATTTGGGGATGATGTAAAAATGAAAGACTGAACCCATAAACTAAGCACAGAAAAACTTTTCTCTTAGAAACATTTCTACAACAAAGAAAATCACTAGCCCTGGAAAGACAAAATACTTTTAGGTAGATGATAATTAATGTATTAAGACTCCCATACAATATATTAAGATAAATTTGGGGTACTGGAATGCATTCTGTAGTGTCTTTGATAATACTCACAAGGGTTGGCACAAACTGTTCTCGATTCTGACGCACCATCCGAACGGCATGGCAGACATCACATTCTTGCTCCAGTTTAATTTTCTCCACTAGGAATGCTAGTGCCAAAAAATATCCACATGCTTTGGCACCATCACTGTAAAAATTTAGTCATTCAACTGTAAATGGATCATTCCAGAATTTTGGAAAAATTCAGCTGCACTCAATACAACCAAATTCTGTATAACTTAGTATAAAAAAGTGTTATTCCTTCAGCGTTAGCATGTGCATTTTGAGAGTGCTATGTGAATTACTTTTGAAAGAACACATTGCCACCTAATGGATGAGTCTTAACAGTATTAATAAAGAACACATTGCCACCTAATGGATGACTCTTAACAGTATTAACATTGTCCTGATGATGGAGGTAGCAAGAAACTCAAAATATTTGTAAACTTCTACCAGACTATATGGCTCTATAACCCAGAAGACTCACTACTTGGTATTAAAATTGAAGTTGCAGCTTCAGGCAGTCTAAGATGAAACAGAATACAGATCTGTTAAGTGAAAAGAAACTCAGTTCCCACACCTCATTTTCTCAGGCCTGACAACTTAACAAAAGACATATTGTCCTATGGCAAACAGTACACTCAAAATTCAGCATTGCACTCTAAAATGAAGCAAGCCCATCTCTAAATATAATGTATGAGCATATCAGCATCATTTTGCATGATGCCAAAAAATCCCAACCTAGGCATAAGTTCACAGGAGGGAATAAAAGTTGGTAGGATTATAGGTTGTCCTTCACTGAATAGTAAAAACAATGCTGTCTACTCGGAATTCCATGACTGCTACACTGGTAGTTACTGAAGGTAGGGAGTTTAATTAAAATCAGAAATTATTTTGAAATGTGAACATGCAGTGTAATTTTAAGACAATTTGTTTTGAAAGAATAAAAACAAAATTCAAGAATACAAGTCTCTGGTAAAAGATTATTCTGAAATGAACCCTTTGCGGTCAGTTTTAAATACCACTACGGCTCTCTGCTGGTCTATTTAAATATCACTAAGCTGTATCCATTCAACTACTATAATGAATTGGTTTGATTTTCTTTTATAACTTGCATAAAATGGAAGAAACTTTGCTAAATATGGTGAAATATGTTCTAAGAGGTTCACAGTTCCTCTTGTTTGAATACTAACCGTGTGAAATATTTTTCACGGTTTGTACCACTGTTGCTAATGAGATGTGTAATAAGTGGTGCCTTTCTGCCTCCTGTCACTCGGTAGAGAATAAAGCAAGACCAAGTCGGTAGATATGACTGGCAACGTCTAAACATCTCTTATTGCATGCAGATATACAATGTATAAGCATTGGATTACTTAGTATCAGAGCTAAGCTTTGTAAGATTTGAGGTTTTCACAGCGGTGAGTATGAAGATTTCTATCTTCTGGGTTGTTGCGCAACAACCCAGAAGACAGAAATCTTCAGAGCTATGCTTCCTTTAGTGCTGATTGTGTTTGAAAGTTCAAGACCAAGTTCAACACCATAAAAGTGAAACAGAATGCAAATTGTAAACGATGAAGTCACTACACATAAAGAATGCTTGTTAAGAAGATGAATGAATATGCATATGTCAGTGGTGGATATGGATAAAAAGTAATTAAAAAAATATAATTTCCTACTAGGAAGATGGGATATTTGTTTTATAAATTTATCAGATAGAAAATACTTCTACTCTAACTAAATATGACAGCTACACACCAGATGGTTTTCCTTCACTAAATGATGTATGGCAAAACACTTTGTGTGGAATCCTGGCTTCCTTGGACACATGTCAGAATAAAACGACTTTTCTCTCCTGTATCCTTTCACTGCTATAAGGTACAAAAAGTCTTACCAGTAAAACTAGGACAGAACTAGTGCAAAGAAAAAGGTTTCAATGATATGCTGACACTGTTTGCCATCCTCAGTTTGACTCCAGTTCACGTATAAAATTTGTAAAATACGTGGCGGACTCAGTCCAACATCGGACCGGAACTCAGATTTTTAAATGTCGGACTCAGTCCGACATAGGACAGCAAAAGGTTAATAACCTAAGTATTTGAAAGGACCAGAACACAACTTCTAACTCACAGACAGGTCACAACTATCGGTCCTTTGCCGCTGTGGCGCCGCTCAGTTTCCTCCCAAAGCTCCAGTATCATAGTAGTGGAAGGTGGAAGCATTTCACCACTCTTCCATCCATTCAGCTGTAAGATGTGTATAATCTTATCCTGTGTATTACTCTGAAATGAAGATGTTGTACCTTCAGCATAATTCTGATCAAGTTTACTTAATTCCTAAAATTCATTAATGTTCCACAAATACCTTTATCAAGTGCACATGTGCTAAATCTAAATGATTCTGATGATGGAGTGTTATTATAAACATTATTTTTTTAACATTGTCAGTGTTTGTAAGTTTTTCTAAATCCAACATTTTAGGAAATAGATCTGTTTCCATCCTCAAGAAACTTCCTTCCCTGCTACTTCATGACAAAAACAGATCAATTTTCTGAAATTAATTTCGAAAATGTTACAATGGACAATGTCCAGAAACATAATAATAATCATGCAATGATGTTCAATTCTAGACTTATTTTATAAATTAACACTGCAATAAATGCTTCACTTGCAGGCCTGGGCCAAAGTTTCATTAACAACATAACCAGTCTTTCATGCAAAATGGTACTTCAGCAGTAATAAAAGAGAGGGACAATGGGATTATGATAGTTATCATTTAAGGATGTTGTAAAATCAAAAGATTTTAAACAAACCCATGTTATACCAAATGTACCTCTTACTCTCAGCCATGTTGATCAGTAAATTTAAAACAAAATGGTCACTTTTCCTGAGGTTTCATCAATAAAGATGTCATGACAAATTCAAAACATTACCAGGAGTCTGTTAGACTTACACTTAGACAAGAAACAGCAATTTCCTTCATAACTCAGTCAGTATAGTGACTAGCTACAGGCTGGATGACTGGGGTTCAATCCCCAAAGCGGCAGAGGATTTTTCCTCCAGCCTCTGCATCCAGACCTGCTCTGGGGCCCACCCAGCCTCCCATCCAATGGGTACTGGGGTCCTTCCCCGGGGGTAAAGCGCGGCTGGGGCGTGATGCTGACCACTCACCCCCATCTAGTGCCGAGGTCAAGAAAGAGTAGGAGCTATACCCCTCCCCCCCAAATAACCTACATGGTGTGTAGCAGAACTGCTTTACTTTTATTTGATAAAATACCCACTTGCATTGCAATGCTAAAAATAGTTATAAGTAAAACTGTCTACCTAACAACAGAGACACCAAATGGAATAAGGGTCTACCATAACCAATGGTTAATTTTTACTCCTGCAAAAAATGAGAATGACAGAGCCTTCTCTTATTAATATACAGAATCTCATTCATTATCTTTAATATCTAGACACTACTTAGAGCTGTAGTTTTGGACTGAGTTTTATATTTTTTATGATGGTAGTGGAAAAGAGGCTTGTCCCAAAAAGACAGTCAAATGGCGGGCTGAAACACTGTACTGCATGCAACTGATGTTAGCAGTCTGGTGGCAATCAGTGAAGGTTGTGTCATTATGAACAACAATGTAATTGGAGTTAAAATGAGAAAGAGGAATGTGCAAGGGTGGAAGATAACAAACAGAAAATCTTATATAACAAAGGAAAAAATGCATTTCAAGAAAGGGAAGGCAGTTCTTCCTAACATGTTTGAAAATATGAAACAGTGTTGTTTAACTACCTATTACCAAGATCAAAAAGAAACCATATTTGTTATTTTTATAAGCTATCAGGGTGCAACATTATGAATTACAATAAAATACATAAATTACAATCATTATGGAGTACTGTCAAAATTATTTTAAAGGGCATATCAAGAATGGAAATATTAGATTTTATAAAACAATGGTAATTCCAAGTAAAAGGGACATTCCATAACGCACACAAGGATACAATAACATAACATTCTCTGCACAGAGAAACAACTGCTTTCACACATGCAGACATAATTGCATTATTTTTTTATATAATTACCTCCTTGTTGGGGCATTTGTCCCAATTGGGAACCAGGGCACTAAAGCCTTTTGCAAAGAAATCCCAGTCAAGCACCTGTCATCACAGATGCAGTTAGCGCATCAGTGACAAAATGCTGCCCTAATAAATGCTGTTTGAGAGGCACAAAGATGAATGTCTATGAGTGTCAAGTAAGGGCTGTGTGCAGAATATTACCCCACCCCTACCCATACCACCTGAACTTGTTGAGATGGCTCTCACACTGTCATTCAGCATGACCACACCATCTTGAATCTTTTCTGGTCTCTTTTGACAAACAGCTTCCTTTAGCTTCTGCATTCAGTGTCACAGTAACTTGCTGCTTTAACTTTCTCACCCTTTAATAGAAATTCCAGCAATGAATGACTATGTGCATCACAGAAAAGATAACATCATTTTCTTCACTGAAAGGACTGTTCTGAAATTTATGTTGGCGGGAAGTAGGCGTGGTTCCATGTCATGGTGTCCACTTTGACTCTCATGTGGCAATGAACTCAGCTCTCATAAGGGAATCCTGTTTAAATATTCAGCTCTGGTGAAAGTTTTCAAACATTCGGGTATCAGTCCTGTTGGATGATGGCATCAGTGCAAGAAATGTCATCTCCTCAAGCATGGCTCATCATGCTGTTCATCACATCTGGATTTAAATGCAGTTCACCATAAAGAAACTTGTTTCTCATATATAATAAAAAGCTCCACAAAGAACTCAGATTAGTGTGTTGCCCTATTCATGTAGAAAGTAATCATATTTTTTCCTTCTGTAGTTGTTCAGCTCTCTAGTTTCACTACAATTTTAGCTCTGATGTTAAATGTACATGCACAAACCTTATCACTGTACAAATAAATGTCTGTACAACAACTGCAGGTAAAATGCTTCCACTAATGAAAATTTACCATATGCTTAATTGTTTGTACCTTACTTTTGGAATAATCCTCATAGTTTTGGCAATCACCAGTAATGACCAAACTCAGAAATGGGAGCAACATGTTAACTGAATTCATTTCCATGCTTTTTGATATAATTTATGTCATCACAATAATATTCATCTCCACTTATCAATATTATGTATTTTCTTTTTACATAGATGCAGTTTGGTTACCTAGGCCAGCGTGCAACCATACAAACGCTCACTCATCAGTCTCACAATTTACATCCATCCATCCTTTGATGATACATAAAAACTCATTACTCCTCCAAACATTGAAATTTATTAATATTTAAATCCCAAAACTTAACAGTGAAAATTGTCAACATTTGCAAGGTTTAGGCTTTTATCCTGTTCTGATCTCCGAGTTAGTCAAATTGATCCTTCCGTTTCTTCAGTGGTTGACCATTCTCATTTATTCCTTTACGGTGGTAGTCAAAGAACTTCTGAGGAACTGCATAGGTTATCAATCTTAAAATATGCTCTAAGCAGTTCTGTTGGTGTATTTTACTTGCTCCTCCAAAGTGAGTATATTTAGTTCTTGTCTAATATCTGTGTTTCTCTTTTCAACCATTCTTCTGTAATCTGCCACTAATCTCAGGAATATCACTTCAGAAGATTCAATTTGTTTTAAATTACAATATCTATGATTTAACATGGTATGGACTTAACTTTTCAACTGTTGGACATCTTGCCAGTCAAGATGGTTTGCATTCCAAAGAATTTATTCTTTCACTTCAGACCAGAGGAACTAAACCCCCAAGCTCTGAATTTAACAATTATAAATTACTAGCTTCATTGGAATGAGTTTTATTATCTTTTCACTTTTCTTTGAATAAAGTATTACAGTACATGGAAGGAACTGTAATTTCATTCTTTCACCTCTTCACTTTCATGAGAACTAGATAACAAAGGACAATGACATCACTCTGTTATCAAAGGAAGGAACTAACTGAATTGTCCCTATTTCATTCTTTCGATGTGTCAGCTATCAACGACGTGATAATCGTACATGAAGAATTTCTCTGCATACAGAAACGAATAACTTACTCTTACTGAGCTGTGGTATTTACCAGAACTTTATATAGGTGTAGGTCTACAAAATATTGGTTTGGACTCAGGGCAGTGATGACCCACATACCAGTTACCCTAACAGACACATTTGTCAGTCCCTACAAGAAAATGTTAGGACAGAACCTTAAAATAATAACTGCTTTTACATATTCCAATTTAGTATTCATAATCGCCCTGATATTAAATGCAACATAATGTGTGAAGTCAATAAATATGCATTAAATAATCCAATAAAGAAGTATGAACAAAAGCAAGTAAAAAATATTATGTAACACATTTTGACATGTTGAGAGTTTCATTGGGATAGAAGGTAAATCCCACTAGAGTAATTCAACGGTGACTGACTATTTATCACACAGACTTTTAGCCTTCTATTTTAGTCAGGAATACTTACTGAAGCATCACTATTTGAAAGGCTGACACTGTGAGTTGTCCAGCATAGGGCTTCGACTTTTACTTTCCATGTGACTTTAAGGTAAGGCACTGGGTTCATGTGGACCTGCTGTTCAGTGGGCCAGAACTTGCACACATTCTGAAAGAGTCACCATTATCATGAAAGAAAAATAAAGTGAAAGTTTATATCAAGGAAAATTGTGCAAGTTGTATTTGTAAGGATGACTTGAACAAGTAGTTCACCAGTCATAAAAGTCTTGTTACAAATTAATGTCAATTTACAAATTATATAACACATTTGTGTGTGTGTGTGTGTGTGTTCATGCGCATGTCCGTGCATACACGTGTAAGTTAAATTCCCACGTATACAGACGACCTCCCTATAAGAAATCTTTACAGAAAGGTAGCAGTTCAGACATGCATTACACTTACTTGGCTTTAATCTCTAAATAAAACTGTTACAAAAAAATCTATGTACCTCAATGTTCTTATTATTGTAACATAGGGATGTTGTTGTATACTCACATTGGCTATCGGTACTAATAACGAAAAAACTAAGTATCAATGAATGTGTAACAATTTGATTTCCAAGAACTTGTACAAGGAATCTCTGACTCAGAGCATGAAGTTTAAAGAAAAAAGGAAATCACAAAACTGGACCAGTAAACTTATAAAAAAAAATTTGGTTACAATGATGGTTCCACATACATTTTTCATTGTTATTGTGAAAACATTATTCGTTCACAACAGACTATTGGGGAGATCCAGTTCTGACTGAGGATTACAACAGCTCTTTTATTCCTTTCTTTCTATTACAATTGAAAAAAATTATTTATTTCACAAGTCCATGTTATTACTCCCTAAAGAAAAATAGTTGCTCATAATTACTTTTATAAAAAATTCACGTGGATAACTGGAAAAATGCTGTGTACTATTTCAGTGCATATAAGATGGGCAAATTTATATTAAAAATTAACAATGTTGTATCATTGGCCAACAGAATTGCTTGTCCATCATTGTCACATAAACTGCTTACACATTAACAAACCTTAATTTTCTCATCTATGTCATTTAGCACAACAATGAGTGATATATTCTTCTCTGCTACAAGCCTCCAGAAGTCACCAACAGTTGATGTCAGTGGAAACTGTGTAGCCACAAACTGGTCCTTGATCCGGAACCCATCCACATAAACAGCATTTATATACTCAGAGTTTGCATCCTCGTAAGGATATCGGGAGATGAATATTCTGCCACCATCACCTAATAAAACAAATAAGAGTTTCAGACTCAAGTAGCTGGTGTTTACAGTTCTGTAACTTGATTGTACATTCTTATTATTAATTTCTGAAGGTTAAAGACCATTATTTTTTATGCAGAATGTGTATTATGGTAAGTTGTGTACTTCTCAACTAGTATTCGCCAACTGTAACTACAAATCAGGTTTGTCACAGTACAAAACCTAATCCAGTACAGAATAATTAAACATCTGTGCACACTCATTTGTGTAAATGCATACAAAAAATGTACACACATTATGATACTATGTGCACATGCTTTGACTTAAAACTAACAATGAGAATGTTTTTAGGGAACTAGTGGATCACTACCTGATATATGAAATTAACTACGTAAAACAGATAGTCATGGATGACAAAATAGTTTTACGTAAATCTTAGATATTTGGAGTACAATCTTGTACAGAATTACTACTGATTAGTTTGCCGGTTACTTAATAATGTAAAAGGAATGACAGACACATTTAATTAACCCTTAATTTTAATGAGATTTCATAAGAGAAAGAAAAATGTTCAAATATCAGCTCAATTCAGTTCCATTGTTTCTCATAGCTGAACATATAATAAAAAATAAATACACTTCCCTCTTTCACTTTGAGCTGAATATTTAAAACTCCATGCACTGAGCAAAATTAGAAATATATTTGGGTCTGCATACCTGGATATAGCCTTCAAATGGAAATTGAATTTTAGACCAAGCGATTATGGCCTGTTTTAAGAAAGTGTTGGGGCATATACATAAAGTTGTGGAAACTGTGTGAAGTTGATTGAGATTTTATCAAAACTTCGTCTAATTACAAATGAAATTCTTATCCACTGAGCTATTTCATATATTATGCTATTTTTTAACCAAGGTTACAATCATACAGTCACTGTGGAAGTCCAAAATATATTATATATATAATAAATATCTGTAATATTTATGCCAATGACATATTAAGATTCACCAAATTCACAGAAAAAGTCTGAATGTGTGAAAAATAGTAACCATTTAAAATACTAGTCTTTGATTTGACTTGAATTTCAGGTTATGTGTGAAATATAACAAGTCAACTAAAATCCAGTCTTTAATGCTAACATTTTCATTATTATACTCCCTTCCGAAAAATACTAGGAGGCAAGACAAATATGCAGGTGCATGGATACTAATGCCATCTATAAGGTTACACTGAAAACTGTTGGAACTGAAGTATTAATGTGTCATTTGATACAAGATTTTAACTTGAAAATTTTGAGTTTCGAAAGAGAAAATTCATTTGCATGTCACGTAAATGTTAAATTTCTTACCAGGCACAATCTTCTCAGATCTGTTCTTAGAATCATTTTTCTGTGCTGTTGAATGGCTTGTCTGTGCAGAAGTGGATCTCAGTGCTTGATCTTGCCATCTGAGATCACGCATACGGTTGAACTGCCGTAGCAGGACACCAGACTTACACAGTTTATCTACATGTTTTCCTAAGTTTCCATCACACATTATACTAGATGGTTCAGCTACCAGGCACTCCAGCAGAACCAGATGAACCAATTTATATTGGTCCTGTATGGATTTCACATTACACACCACATTAGAACAATTTATGAAAGTGTTGTACTGCTTTTGTCTGTGCAAAAATGTACTCTAATGACACTTGTTTGTGCATTTGTGGTTTGTTTGATGATCCAGTCAGTGGCTCAAACATATAGTGTCATTGTTTAACCCTTTTGCTTTGCATTATTTTCTCACCATTCTCGACAATTTAAGACAATAATATGAAAAATTTTCAAAATATTTTTTTAAATGTAATGTAACAATATTTTGTACAACTTCAAAAGCTTTAACTATATGGCAGCACTATGCAGACCAAAAAAATGTGTTTTCACAGCTCAGGGAATGAAGGCAAATTATGCAGTGAAAGGAGATTTACTGATGTGAACTAAAGTTTAATTTTGCACTATACAGTAATGGATGTTTCTTAAACTTCAGTCAAATATCACAACATTACATTTAAATCATACGCTAACAGAATCACAGAGATAACACAAAGCTTCAAAATATAATTTAAATAATGTATGCTCTGAACATTAGAATTTTAGGACTTGCTATTAGTTTCACTGGATTTTTGGATTTTGCTGATCATCCAGTATTCTGAAATGAACACAATGTTTTGGAAACTGGATTTGTTTATCCTCAGGTATCAAGGTATAGAGTGCATACTCAGTTCCATACATTAGAAACAGATTATGCTCAGTCACTAAATAATCACTAGTTAGTACACTAAACCTATATGTGATCTGTTCTGGAATTTTATGGGTATTTTCAATGCAAATTTCTTTATTATCTCCCACTGATAAGAACTGCTCTTAGTGGCTTGTATAACTTTGGTTAACATTAGGTGTCCAGTGATTCAGTTTAGCTTTTACTGACGCATTCATCTGAAAAAGGAAAAGATCCAATCTCTAATGTGGTATGTACTTTTCAGAATACTAGATGACTGCCAAGGTCCAGAAATCCAATACCACCTGTAATATATTGTAATATAATGTAAATTTACTGAAATAAGTGCTTATGACAACACAATTGTTTTCTTATGAGATTTCTCCTTCTCACCATGTGGGGAAAATGTGAACTGTAGTCTTCAGGACTCGGATGCCAAGTTGTCTTACACGTGGTTTCCAGTGTTTCAGAGGAATCTACCGCTTGTGTCTTCTGGGTTAAATCACTTCTGCCCTGAACACTGTAGAGATCTGTTCCTCCAAAACATTGGTAACCACATACAAGTCCATAAATCAACACAAACCCAAAGCGCACAGTGTTCGCTTGACTTCATGATATGGAGTGATCATAAATGATCCTGGTTTTGCTACCTACAATGGTCCAGCAATCTTATCCCACAAAAATATTTTATGTCATTCAAGTATTCTACTGTAGGAAGTACAAACCTCTCTTAACATACTTTCCATAGTTTGAAACATTTTGTGCACATCTTATCTCATTGTACAAATCTTCGTTTTATTATTAAATTTATGACAAATCTATCAGGAAAATGGTCATGATTATGAAAGACGCCCACTGAAATGAATGCATGAGACACTAAGTGAGAAAATATGACTTGAAGGAAAGCAATTTTAATACTTATTGTGTGAAGATAATTTCAGTATTCTAATTTCAAAAATTTTAGTCACATAGTGCATTACTTCATTACATTCTCCATCAGACTGGAATTAATCACTGAAAAACAATAGTTAGGATAATACATACCAAATTGTCCACCATGTTGGCTCGTTGTTCCCTAAGTTGCTGCAGGAAACCGAGTGCATCTACATACCCTTCTGCTGCAGCCATTCGAAGACAAGTATCTGCTAGAATGATGGTCCCTGTTCTCCCAACTCCAGCGCTAGAATAAAGAACGTTATTAAAGGCGATGAAATTCGAGTTTAAATTGTATGTGTTAAAAACTATGTCATGTCATGTGACCAGGCTCTCTTATCTTTGAAAGATCTGATATGATACATGGAATATAATTTATTTAATCCATTAAATTTAAAGAGAAAGGGTTTTTGCTTAATGAGGAGAAAATATTATCCATTCTGTAGCTAACAAACAAGTTTTGTAGTCAACAAGAGTGGAAATATGAATGCCAATTCATAGCAGGCTTATACATATGTACTTAGTTTTGTCATTTTTCATTCCAGTTTCATTTATTACAGACACAAATCTGCTCTTGACAGAGCTAACAGTAAAATGCATAGATATATACTGTATGTGGACTGTGGTACTGTATTGGTTGTGATGCCATGTAGTATTGTATGGGGTTACAACTGTTTTGGATGAATGTACTGCCTCAATTTTCAGGCTGTAAGTGCAACTTGGAAGTCTCCAAGCCACATTTCTACCACAACGAAAACCCCAGATCCTACACAGGATGAGCACTTCACTCTTCTTTTCAGGGCACCACTTGACCCCTGCAAGTTCTTATTTCTGCTCTCCTTGTTCTTCATCATCATGCTGACCCACCACCCATATGTCTGGTAATCCACCTGCTGGACCCTGAAGGGCCCTTATAAGGGCCACTTCCTCTGACCTCTCTCTCTTTCTTGTCCTTCCCCCTCCTGCTGCCCTGGCTGTAGCACTTTTTCTTCTTATATAGCCTCCCAGGCCTTTGTCCGACCCTGACTCTACTCCCCACTGGTCTAGCCAAGGCTCTGGCTTGGCTGTCTGTTTAAATCTCAAACTGATTCCATGCACGTGGCTTACTTATTGACCTGATGATGGAGGTAGTAAGGACCTCTGAAACGTTGGTAAACTTCTACCAGACTACATGGTTCTACATCCCATAATATATACACCAAAAAGTGTTTCAAATAAAAATGATAGATGTAAGATGCAGAAAATATGATCAAATTTTGAGAAATATAATAAAGGGTCAATTTTGGTTCCACATGAATTAACAGTCCAGCCAAGCGTTGGGTGAAAAGACAAAGCATTAACTGAAGACGAGTTTATGAAATTTGCCAGCTGATCAAGCTTCACACACTTCAGGGGCTGTGATGGATGAATCTGGAATAAGTAGTGTAATAATGATTAAAAAGAAAATCTTAAGTATTAGGAGAAAAGCCTCCCCAGTGGAGTTCTGTCCACACAGATTCCACACAGACTGCCCTGGCTTTTGGTCCAGGTCGTTGCAATGAGAAGCCCGTATCTAATCACATGAAACGTAGCATATCTAAAAGTATAAGTTATGATGGACCAATATATACCAAGATAGAATTTACATGCCAACTTTCCGTGCAGGATCCCAGTACAAAATTTCATCAACATCTGTTGAGTAGTTTTGGAAATGGAACATGTGGACAAAGACTTGGGCATTAACTCTCCATTACTTATTCCTTTCTAGAAATTTATACAAAAAATCCATAAAATATATCTAGAGAACTTATTTTAACCTCCAACCCTCTCTACTGTCCTTGAAGAAAGTCAGATATTTGGTCTCATTATAATCTTAGTAAAACTGATGGCACTGTTTAATATCAGTAGAGGAACTCATATGTTGCAGTTTAAACATATAACCTTATTAGTCTACTTCTCTTATCCATAAGCAACATACCTGCAGTGTACCACAATTGGGCCAAGACCTGGTGGTGTGGCAAGAAGCTTCTTGAGGTATGATGCAACAGATTGAGGGTACAGTGGCACGCCATGATCTGGCCACGAGGTAAAATGAAGATGATGGATCTAAAAATGTTCCACAAAGAGTGTTAATCTTCTTAGAAATAAGATTAAATTTCAACTTAGTATGGTATACCTGTTGGGTTCCATATCATAAGACCATATTAAGACAAAATTATTTTAAAAGTACTAAGTTGCGAGCCAAATACTGGTATCAAAGACAGCTGCTCATCTTACACTTAGCTGCATGCTGAAATGGGACTACAGCTCATTTACACACAAACTCTCTCTCACATATGCACGTACGTACACAGGTGAGTGCATGTGCACATACAAATACACACACACACTCACACTCATTGCCATGACAACCTCAGATCCTACATATTCTTTTCCTGTTAGATGTTCTTCTTAGGTGATCAGCCATTTCAGCCAGCCAATATTTTGAAGACTGTCTCTGGTTCGATCACCAGCAGAAATTAATATCATCCCTCATGATAGATGCATCTGGACAATCTCCAGAAAACTGTAAATTCATTCCATGACTGGCTGTCATGGCTGATCACCTGAGAAGACTTCACTGAACTTACATTATTCATTCAGTTAAGGAATAGAAACTTCACTGAACTTACATTATTCATTCAGCTAAGGAATATGAAGTTTATGTAAGAATAAAAATACAAGCAGGATTTGAGGTTTTCACGGCGGTAAGTTTGAAGATGGCTGTCTTCTGGGTTGTTGTGCCTTGTAGTCTGGTAGAAGTTTACTGACATTTCAGAGGTCCTTGCTGACTCCATCATCAGGGCAATGAGTATACCATGCATGTGGAAACGACTAGAGTTATAGGAGACTGACAGTCAAGGAAGAGCCTTGGCCTAACCAGTGGGGACCGGTGTCAGAATCAGGCGAGGACGTGGGAATCAATTGGATTGTGGGGGCGTGCCACAGCCTGGTCAGCAGGAGGGGTAATGACATGAGAGAAAGACAGAGTGAAGGAGAGATAGGTCCACATGGTGCAACAGCCCAGAAGACAGCAGCCTTTAATAAAAACATCTTGTCGACACGTACCTTCCTCGTCTTACCCTTACAGGTAACATTCAACAGTCTGAATGTGAAATCTGCAAATATTTGAGTTGAAGCATTTAGAACAGATATGTCACCATGTGTAACCTCTTGTCCCAGATCTGGCCAGTACTGCTCACATTTCAACTGAAATATAATGATAATACATGTTACACCAACTATTACAGTACTTTATCTGGAGTCTGCTGTACACTGGAAAAGTTTAATAACTTAAATGTTATTATCCACTGAATATCATATACACCACTGTCTTTAATGCTCTGGAGGAGCTAATTATCACAGAATATTTCAATGTTTTTCTCAGTACTTCCTCAGTGTATGCTGGAACAGTACCTTGAACAATTCATAACCTCTTAATCCTATAGTCTTCCTGGCTTGTAAAAATTGCCCTACAATCTCTCATTATATCCCACATAATAAAGGAACATGGACTGGAAATAAAATCAGAGTGGACAGCAATGTTAAACCTCTTGAGCAATGGAGAATAAAATACAGAAGTGAAAATAAAAGAGATAAAAAAAACTTTAAAAAATTGTATTTGCTTTGAAAGCATGGTTGAAAAAACAGGCAAGAGCTAAAGGAAAGAACTGAAAAGGATTCAAAATTGTATCACATAGCTATGAGTTTATTATGGAATAAAGATACAGACAGAAAATGTAAAATTACAATATTTAATATATATTTAAAAAAATACATGGACATCAGCATTCCATTTTGAGAGGAATGCAAACCACAAACAGCTGAAATGAAATTCCTGAAGACATTAGTGGGAAAAACCAGGCGAGACAGAATCAGAAACACATTTGTTAGGGGGAGCTCAAGCTGGAGGAGATACAGAACCAAATCAAGATAAGTAGATTGAAAAAAAGTTAAAAAGTGGATGAGCATGGAATAGCAAAAACATTTTGAAATGAAGATGAGTGGAAGAAGACTCAAGGACAGGTAGACCACACATATGCTGGATGGCCCAAGTTCAGAGATATGTGAAGAGAGGAGATTGGAGGAGATTAAATGAAATGCAGGACAGAGACTTCTACGCAAAAGTCAGCCCACAAGTTTTGAAACAACTGAGGTAAGAAAGGAAGCATTAGGAAGGTCCAAAAAACAAAAGATCAGAATTGTTTTGTATGGGTGTGAAACATGGTGACTCATGTTAAAGAAAGAATACAGATTAAGGCTGTTTGAGAACAGAGTGTTGAAAAGAATATTTTAACCTAAGAGAGATGAAGTGAGGGGAGGCTGTTGAACATTCAGTAATGAGGAGTTTCATAATTTGTACTTTTTGCAAAATATTATTTGGATGACCAAACTAAAGAGTATGAAATAAGTGGGACATATAAAATGCAAGATGTGACAGATGCATACATTTTGGTTAGAAATCACTCAAAGACACAGGCAGAGATATGAGGATAATATTACAGAGAATCTTAAGGAAATAGGGTGTGGAGTTTATTCATCTGGCTCAGGTTATGAACTGGTGGCAAACTCTTATGAACATAACTATGAACATTCAGTTTCTATAAATATCAGGGAAGTTCTTAACTAGCTCAGTGATCATTAGCATCTCAAGTTAATTAATTAGCAGAACTTTTCCTGAACATAAAACTTAGAAATAAACATTGTTTGGGTTTAGTATATTCTTAATTTTATACTGAAGAATCCAAATAAACACTTTGCCTCAAACTAAAATATGGATCAAAGTAAGATGGAATATTGCAATTTTATAGCACTGATCAGTCTCAAAAGTTCATGCTAACACTGAAAAACAATTCATAACAACATTTAATATTAGAATTTTATGATGAAATCACACCCTACATAGAAACATAATAGCATTCACTTTTTAATCATATTTTATTTTCTCCCTACAAAATTTGTAAAACTCAATGAACTAAATATTTCTTTTAATTTTTTTCTTTAAAAAAATGACAATTGGTATCTGAAATGGGTTTCCTAATGGAATTTCCTTCAGCTCTCGTGTGACATAATTTTTAATATACCTGTATGCACTGTCTATGAGACTAAGTAAATAGTCTGAAACTAAGAGCTACATGGCACTTTATAAATTCATATGATTTCAGATTTTAGAATATCTGCATATCTCTACTCAAGGTCAACAGTATTTAAACCACTGACTAGAGTGGGATTTGGATATGTGCTCACAAATTTGATTTACCACATTCTTACTTCACTCACATACAAAAATTATTCGGATAATGGAAGTTTTAACCCAGCAGATCTCATTGTATAAATATGACAGGCACATGATACAGGATAACCAAAATATTTTCCATTTCTTTCAACAGACATCAAATAATTACTGTCTTTAATGTAATTAATGTTTCACAACCATGTCTCTGTGTAATAATATACTACCATTAACCTGTTGAACCCTGCAGTTAAAGTTTGACTGGCAGGCCTGTAGTATGGGGGATTAAAATCCCATATTTCTGTACAATTAAAATTAAAATACCTGATTTATGTTAATGTGTCCTCTGAACTGGTATTGACATGTAGAGGATCAAAGTAATAACCAAATACCTTGCTTACCTTGCCATTTTCCACAACATTTGTTAGTATGGCAATAACTTGCACATGTTCTTGCCAAATCATTCTCCAGAAGTCCACAACTGTGTTGCGTTTAGGGCCTTGCGTTGCAATGTAAAAGTTTGGCGTACTGTAACCCTGTAATTAAAATCCAAAAAATGAGTACAACAAAAACAAAATTATGCATGTCTTTGACATCATAATGTTTTACAGAAACCATTCTATTCGTGAATATTTTCCACTATGTTTGTCACATAAACAGAAACATCTATTTATAAGGACTGTACCAAAGTTTCCAAGGGAATACACATGTACTAGAGAAGGAGAAATAAACAGCATTTTACACATTCCTTAAGACAGCATTTTTCTACTTTTTTATAATCTCACTTCATACACGTAGCAATGCTTCGCACATCTTTCTCTTTAAAATATAAAAATCAAAAATATTAGTTAGTTAGCTTAAGAAAAATGACTACATTGATGAGTGAACAGTAATCATCAGATTTTTGTCAAAGAGAAACTTCAATTTTATGTATCAAATCTGCAGTATTTCCAATATGTCTGCATACTGTTCGAGGCAAAATGCAAATATTTAAGTGCTTTTATTTCTGAATTTGATGCATTTCATGTTTTCTGAAACTACACAGTTCTATCCAATGAAAGTTTATACAGGAAGACCAAAAAGTCACACGACCCATATTAAAATATTAATTAATGGTTGCAATCCAATAAAATCTGACACACAATATCACTGTGACTACAATAGCACATGCAGATCACATTGTGCTGTGCCAGTTTGTCAGTTGTCTTTGAAACAGTCAAAGTGCAAGGATGTCTTTTTCACAAGTGTAAAAAGTGTTTATTGTCAAATACATAATGGCATCCTGTTCTTACTTAAGTTGCCAGAATGACTTTTGGGATACATTTCCCAGTTCTCCTAAGCCAAACAAATTGACAATATCTTATCTGATGAACCATTTCCATCACCGCAGAAACTCTTCACTGGGTTACACCAAACATGAGTGAATGCATGCATTGTTTAACAGTGGACATTTCCAACAATTAATGTGACATCATTTTTGTATTCTGATTTCAATATATTTATTTTTTTGACAAATAGAACATGTGTCAATAATCAGTTGTGTGACTTTTTGATCATCTTTGTGACCCACTGCTTATAGTCTGAATACTTTAACAAACTGACTAGAAATATGGGATAAAAAACATTGAAAGTGATATAAACACTAAACAATTTGTTGGAATCAGGCTGAAGTGACAGGAATGAATGGAACATAAGATTGAATACCTCACAAGTTTAAAAAAATCACCAACTCACATGTATGTAATTTGCATTGATGTAATCAGAAAATTGATCCTCTGATAGTTTCTTCAGTTTCACCCTAGTTTCATCATCTGTAATTAAAACCAGATAAATAAAACCTTGCCCTGGTACTTCTTAAGCAATGTGTCATGAAGATGTATGGGGTAACAGAGATATAACTCTACTCTTCCTTGACCTCAACACCAGTTGGAAGTGAATGATCAGCATTGTGTCCTAGCTGCTGACATCACCCATTGGAGAGGAGGACAGAGGTGACCTTGACAGGAGAGCGAAGAGAAAAATTCTTTGTCTCTTCTAGAAATCAAACCCCAGTTGTCGAGCTCATAGCAGTCACTATACTGACTGAACTACCCTGGTTTCACATAATTAAAATAGGCACACTAATTATTACAACATAAAACTACATAATTTACACCATTAATTTACATTTTAATAAATACAGTATCACAACATGAAACAAAGTTTTCCAAATGATAAGAAAGAAGTGCGACTTTTATGGAAGAAATAAGGCCCGCTACTCAATGCCATGAGAACTTCAAATCATTCTTAAAAACATGTTTACTTACTTGCTTCTACACCCCACCCATCAGTACCATTAAACTGAATTTGTCTCAGAACATGTGACTCTACTTTGAAGACATTCAATCCAATTTCATTAGTTATATTAAATGTGCTAATGTTATCATCCTATCATCTATGCATTCATTTCCAAAGTGGTCTTTTTCATCATGACTTTCCTAATTTTGAGTTCTTCTCTGTTGCATGATATAAAAAAATTGTCTTTAACATCTGAAAATTTTGCTAGGAACTTTAATAAATTTGTTGAAAATTGTACAATACTGTTTATCAGAAGTTCTTAACACTCAAAAATGACTCAATATTTACAAAATAAATGCATGGAACAAAATGTTTATATCATTATAACTATAAATTGTCTGTAATAATTTTTACATTATATTTAACAAGATAAATATAAGCATATACTTAGATCTTCAAGTGACCTGCCAGTCCTAAATGGCTTATGATACCCACTTTACATTTCACCAACAAGTTGGACAGTCGGCACAGTAGTTTTTGGCCAGTGGAGAAACTAGCGGAGCTGGCAGACAGGCCTACTCTGTGTTCCTGAGGTAGCAAGGTCAGTGTATTTCTTTTGTTTGGGCGTTCAGCCCAACAAGCTCCTCGGTGTAGTCAGTATTATATGATCGCAAAAGAGACTCGCTCCTAGCCTCCCCCTTGAAAATTCCACTGGCCAAAAACTACTGCGCCGACTATAGTAAGGGTATCTTACACAAACTTCATATAAATTAGAAGAAAATGCTAACTCTAGATGAATTTTCTTCATGTACTATAGAGACAAATGTCATGATATCATTGCTCCCAGACTCCCCTACATATTCTTTTATCATTGCTACAACTCCTTCATTTTTGTGTAAAATTACTGGGGCACCACCTATATATATGTGGGGCAGATAAGTTAATTTTTAACTGACATGTCTTTTAAACTATTTTGCAAAGCTGTGTACAAATCAACAGTCTGACACAATATCAGAAAATCACAAACATTTATGCAGGATGAACATACTACATCAGCAGGCCATGGGTTGAGGATTACTGATTGTTCACCTCAAAGATGTAAGATAAGGTGATGATTATGTTGAATAGGAGACAGATGCAAGCAAGTGGTAACACACAATTTCTAATAATTTCTAATGTCTGTAGTGTGTGCTGAACACTTTAGCTCTCTCATATTGATTTCACAGGAAAGAAACGTATTACACATTAAAATTTCCCACATATTGAGTGAATCCTGATCTTAAGGAAAAATTTGCTTTAGGTTTTATGATTATCTCTAAATCCTACCGTGACAATTGCTCCTTTTTTTCTATTACAGCATCTTCATTCTGAGTCTATAAAGATGGATTAGGGAGAGGCTACACTGTATTAAACTCAAGTAGATGTATCAAAGTAACTTACATGCCACAAGATTACCGTACCGATTCTTTGCTTTGTTCTGAGGGAGTCGACCATAATCCCAAGGGTGGGTCTGTCCCCTTGGAAACAGCTGAAAAATTAAGTATGTTTTTAAAATGATAATTAATTATTCATTAGACAATTTCATTTTTAAATTAATGCTGTGCATCAAATAGCATTATAAAATAACAATTCTTGTAAACTTTTTCAACCTATCACAATTCAGTCATGTTCATCAGTCAGTTTCAAACATGGAATGTTCTGCAGTATATGACTGCATATGCACTTCTGTAGTAGATTTGCTCAACATCTCAATGTAAACACTAAACAAAAATTTATAGATCATAATAAATGTTATACAACTTCCTGTTTGCATTCCATTATTTCAAAACACCCAAAAGAAATCAATGAGAGACAAAAACTATAAAAACAAATAAATGTCATAGCAATATAAGATTTAAAGCTTTCATGACAACTACATACAATGAAAACGTCTCGAGCAATCAGCCATATGAGAATGGAATTAATATTCAAAGTTTAGGAAAATAACACCACTCTCACACAGCTGCAAATGTAAGTATTGCAAATACTGCAATACTGGAAAGAAAATTTATTACTGTACGATAAATAAAGTAATATTTTCTAAGGAACTGTGAATTGCAACCAGTCTGTTACAGCAGAACAAAAAAGATCTAGCAGATTAATGTTCAAAATTCATGATTTGACTATATGATACAGAATATTTGAAAATAACCAAACTTTTGCCACTAGAGTCAATTAGCTTACTGGAGAAATATTATGGAACCTGATTTTATACTGGGAGTTCTTATTATGAGAGCATAAATAAGATTTATAGTACAATAAAATCATACATAATATATATTCCTTCTAATAAAATTTGTGACAACTACTACAAAAGTCCAACACTTAACCCCATCTCAAGTTAGCTTAATCTAAAAATAATCATAAGCTATAACCCTCCCCCCAAAGAATTCTGAAGACCAACTTCGAAGCTGAACATAAGATACAAACAGTCTGACAAAAGGATGTAAGAAAGAGTTATAATTCTTGTGACTGGAACAACATAACAAATCATGATGACGATGTTGATGTCTTGTCCTTAAGCGTTTTCTTTACATGAGGCTGCCCACGAAAATAATGCATATTTTACGAATGCATACTACATATGAAGTTCTCATAAACTCTGATTGAATAACATAATGCATGGAGCTGCTTAAACCATCTGAAAAATTTAAATGACTAATTCTATAGTAACATAGCCCCAAAAGTCAATATTACTCACACACAAGTCTACATCTAACTTTTATCAGCTGTGCATCACACTGTTAAGCATGTTCAAGCTGGGACTGTCACAGTAGCATGGTGCTAAAACAATCCTTTATTTCAAACCATTTTATGGAAGTTACAACACTGTAATTATATTTACTACTCAAAACAGAATTCCATTACATTTTCCTGCTGTAAGTTATCTATAATTGCCAACACTGTAAGGCTACAGTTACCAAGAAAGTGTTGCATTCCAACAGTATGGTTATGACATTGACAAGAGCTTTTTGAACCTAAATGTTATACGTATTTATTGCTTTTGAAATACAAATACAAAACCATTTCAACTCGATCTCCTTAACTTAACTGTTCTAGCAACACTGCATACAGTACATAATTCACAATGTTCTTAGGTATGTATTATCCTGCAGTACCTACGAACTTAATCTGCCTTAGGTCCTGAGTACTTGTTGTCCAAAACTTAAAATTTGTCTTATTCTCTTATTAAATATGTGCACATACTTGAAGTGAGATTTATTGCTAATGATGAACTGCAATTTTGTGCTTATACCTCAATCTAGACTCACTGCTCTAAATAATGATTTTAATGGTTACTAACAAACCTGAATACTCTAAAGCTAATTCTTATATATCCACCATCTAATAATGAATCAAAGGTAAGAAATAACAGCTGCATTATCTTACATGACAAAGTATTGAAACTCTGAAATATGTCAGAGTCTAAAACTACTGCATTACAATTCCAGTATACTAACCATTAATGCAGAATGATACTCACAGCATGCTGGCGCTGCAGTTCACCAGATGTTAGACCTTGTTTAACATACTCCTCTAGTTCTGCAATAGCTAACCTGTGACTGAATTTCTGAGATGGAGCAAGCTTTGGTCCTACAGACAATTTATCAACTTCTAGATCTAGATCTGCTACATTATCTGTAGAATCACTTCGGTTTCCTACAAAAAAAAATATATACAGTGGATTCTGGTTAATTGGGATATATCAGGACTAGAACACTTTGGCCCAATTAAGCAGCTACCCCAATTATGCAAAGTTCCACGTAAAGCATTAAAAAGGTTTGTTCTTTAAGATTTGTCCCAAATAAATGGCTGCCCCGATTAACCGATGGCCCAATTAACCAGAAACTACTGTATATTTAAATTAATAGATATATTTAACTGCAAACAACTGGAACTGGAGATCCAAAATGTGTGTTCAACAATGAATACAAATATAAGAACTGCCTGCCATTTCAACAGCTACACAATTTTAAAATGTGCCTGGAAGAAATAGGAAATGTAAAGTTCTTTCATGTTTAATGAAAGAAGGATCATAATATTTTTAATTATACCGCATATGGTATGACATTAATAATAGCACATATACATTATTTTATATTCAAGGTCTTTGATCCAATTTCCTACTTGTAGAAGCTAATTCTGTAAAAATTACTCACCATACAGCACATCATCTGTTTTCAGTTCCAGTGTATCACCTTCTTTCCTCACATGCTTCCTGTTATAAATAAATATATAAATAGTTCAAACAGAAAGGAATGGCACAGATTATATGCCTGAAATTATGTTACTCATATGTAACACTCTTTGCAAAGGGATTCCTTTACTAAAATTCAAATTTTAAGAGTGCTACAAAAATATATAATAACATGCAGAAAGAACTGAAATGTCAAAAAACATATAACATAATGAAGGAAGGTAGCATTTAATGAGTAAGGGCCTAAAAGATAACACCGAGAAACAAATTTGGAAATATATACAAACTGTAACAACTTCAGCACACACTGTGTTACTGTCATCTGCACCACAACTCAGAGTCGATGTTATTAACCTCACCTGCTTCCTCAACATTCTGTCTGCCCTGTCTCCCTTTCCCAACACTCCAATCCACAAGTTGCCCTTTTTCCACCCTTACCTGAATGCCTGCATTATACTGGACTGTCACGCATAGGTAAATAAATTGCTGGTATATAAACACCAAAGATCAGCAATTATCAAAGGAAAGCATGGACAGATATACGAAGCACTAAATTCTAGGGACTTGTGGTGAAATGGAGGTCATCTATGAAGTAATTCTTTGGAGTAAACTAGCATTCAAAAGGTGTTCATGCTACCTCACGTACGTAATTGTGAAGAGTGAGAGGCAAACAGTGCCACTAATTATTGTTAGTTTGTAAACAGGAACTGTTAGAGAAGGAAATGGAGAAAGAATTTACAGTACAGATTTTGTAGCAATGATTATTTCATTGTAACATTCATCTTCCTAAGCTCCCAAAATAACACCCCAAGCAAAATACTGTATTTTTGAACAACTTTGTGGTGAAAAATAGCATTTGTAACTCTCTGTTGTAACAAACCTCATTTGCCATGAATGTACATTTTAACTAAGGCACATAGTTCACATTTTTCTGTGAAAACTCACTGATATGTGTTTTCAATCATCGCAGTCACAATTTTATACACGACAGAGCCAATCAATCACAGTATCACATAGAGGTATCTGTCAATTTAACATTTCTGTCACAATCAATCACAGTATCACATAGAGGTAACTGTCAATTTAATATTTCTGTCGTCTTTATCCTAGAGAAAACATTTATGGTTACTTAACATAAAGAAGGCTGGGTGGATCTCAGAGGCATTTTGGACATGTTAGCAAAGAGAAAAGTTTGATTGTTCCTGAGAAGAATAAACCTGTAGCCTACCACTTATCAGCCCTTCAAAATTCTGACATAAATGCATAAGTCCATATTTGTACATAACTGACCTTACAATGAAATACACAACTGCTGGTATAATAAGTAACAGCAGCAATGCAGCCCACTCAGCTCCAGTGCCACCATCCTCTTCAAGATTAGTCTGAACATTATATTGAAGTTTTGCACAGCTGACCTTGTATTCATCATCCTGCCAATGAAGTGCTACCAGAATAATTTGGTACTGCACTCCAGGTGTTAGAGGTTGGTTCCAGTACGTGACACCCGAGGCATTAAAGACCATTGTTGTGTTGTCACCAACTTTGAATTTCCTATCTCCATCTTCAGGCTGAAATGTGCCATGAAAACTTCAGCAGCAAATCCCATATGTAATGACATTAAAATATTAATAACATTTTACAAAGTCTGAGAGCCACTGATTTCCATTACATGGAAACACAGTATTGCCTTACTGTATCATTAATGTTCCATGTAATAAATGTTCTTTCTGAATACTTGTATTTGGGTGTCAAAATGTTTTAAAATACTGGAAATATAAAATTGTTCTGAAATCCAAAATTTTATACCTGTATGTTTAAAACTAATTCTTTCCTTACCAGATAACTATGTATTAATGAGAAATCTGTATTCACTAAACCCCAATTAATGGTACCTGCACCTTGTTGTGGTGGTGGGGCTTGAGTACTCAGTGATCCCAAGAGCTATGCTGGCGGTAGCATAGCTACTGGTAGGGGGAGAGGTCAGACTAAGATAGGTACCCTGGTCCTCCAGGTTGGGGGGTTGGTCACAAGGCTAACAACCTTGTACAGTAAAAAGGAAGATGTTTTGAAACCTCAATCAAAGCCTCGGACAGATGGACATAAGAAAGGACCGAATGGAAGAGGAGAATTGAGGAGGCCATGGACCGAACACGGACCGGAGAGCCATAGAAGAAGAAGAAGTAACATTTCCTAGTATCACAGATGCAAACCTTTTGTGTTCTTTGCATGAAGTGCATGGGGAGAATGCATTATGAGTTGGTCATGTCTGTCTGTCTGTCTGTCCATCCATCCACATGATTCAACTTGAGAACCACTGAACGAACTAAGATGAAATTTGGTATGGGCGGTGTGCCACTGGGGACTACCTCAAAATCTTACTCCCAAATACAACAGGTAGTAACAAAATGGCTGATGAGGAAATTCGTAAGGTGGGACCGACAATTAGATACATATTCCTGCTTAATACCAAGTATACTGGGTCTACTGGACTAAATAATGCAAGGACTACTAGAATATTTTGTAATAAAAATAAGTCTTTCTGAATCCAAAATAAGAAACATGAAGCACCAAAAATAAACCAAAGCCAATGCCCAAATGTCCAAAATTCAACCAGATTGAAAGAAGACAGACTTTCCCAATTAGTACAGTCATGGATAAAAAATTGTAGGATTAAAAATTATTCAAAAACCTGTTTTTGCAAAGCATAGCTCCAAGACCAAAGAAACATTAGTTTGGACACCAAGGACCACTTAATGGATGCTCAGATTGATGCTGATGGGGGCTGAGGTGATATAACCAACTACAGCAGTGCCAGTCGGGAGGGACAACTGTGGGTCTGATGCTAACACTGGAGTGGTGGTTAGGGGCTTACAGAAATGGAGGACATCATGAACTGATTAATGGGTTGAGAACTGACTCAGCTACTCTGGTCATTTTGAACTGTCAACACATTAAACAAACCAAATAAATACTTAAAAATGTAATCTCAATCATTTTTGTACTGGTATAGCGTCCACACCAGATGAAATATTTATTACAATGGATGGCATATTAAGAGAGGTGGCAGTGGTGAATGTCACAGTAGCCATTATGATTCCTGCAGCAATCCAAGAACGCTCATCATTTTTAACATTTTCTCTCTTCAGAATCAAGTCCACCATTTCCATCTTTTTTACTTCTTCCTTATCAGATGTTACAACCACAAAGTAGGAGCTATAGAAGAAAAAGAAAACACAGTGAATAAGCGGCAAAATGAACTTCTTTTAAAACAAAGTCAGATTTTCAGATAACCCACAAACATTAGCAAGGAAATCTTAGGCATTTGATTGACTTGAAGAATTTCAGATTTTGTAAAAATATTATAGATTTCCTTTTTTATATAAATTTTAGTCCAAAAGTGTAAAATGCAATACATGCATCCCTCTTGTTTTCTAAATTTGGCTGTCACACAATACTAGAATTAACCACATATGAAATGTAAATACAGTCTGAAAAATTTGCAGAGTGAGTGCAATTTAAGTAGACCAATATGTAGGACAGTAGGTTGAATTTTTACGAGTAAATATTATAATACTTCAAAGTTTTGAATTGAGGTTTTCTTGATGGGACTGTTAGTTGACATGGGCATTGTTCACTTTTTGAACCTAGAAAACAGAATTAATTGCATACCAATGCATACTGAATATGACTGACACAATAAGGAAAGAATGCACTCCAGTATACACTAAGAAACAGATAGGACCTTCAAAATCAGGAGAAGAATGTGTCAAGTCAATTGCAGGACTCTCTTGTTAAAGTTTGTAGTGCAGCATACTGGTGTGTTACGTTGATTCTTGATGACAATTATTCAGTCACTTTTCCACAAGCATTGCTCAGTAATGGAAGTTCAGTCATTGCACTGGAATTTTATCACTTATTCTTTCTCCTGATGTCTCAAATAATAATAAAACTTGGGTAAAACATTGTTTTTACTTAAAATGATTAAAATATGTTAAAATTACTGGCACAGCTTCAAGATTCCAGGTGTATTTTGTATCTGTAAGTAGAAAGTTGATTATAATTGTGAAAACTGCATTTTATATATATATCTGTTGTAAGAGGGATGCACGTGCGTCTGTGTGTGTATGGGGGGGACGGCTGTGGAGTATTACTTTACCTGAGCTGTGTGTCTTGTGTTGTACCATACCAGAATAATGTAAAGTATGATGTATTTGACCAGTTTGTAAGGGAGGGTAAGGGTTAGTGTGTTGCAATCTATGAGGGTGTTTTATAAGTTTCTGTTTCATAAATTGGGCTACTATGACCAATATTAAATTCATTCACATGAAATTGTTTGCATAATATTTTTTGAGACTGTTCAAAAATTTTCCTTTTCTGGCTTCTTTAAACCTTGTTTTTCATCTGACCTATTCTAATGCATTCTCCCTTTTGTCGTCAATTCTTAACAGGTATAAGAAGAATCATGGTACCAGTAGAAGAACATGACAGGTCAGCAGAACTCACTGATTGACCTTGGTGTTATTTCTTCAGAATCTATCGGATTCCTTGTCCTAACTTCAATACCAGCAATAATCAATTTAAATTCTCACACCCTAAATACTTGCCATTATGTATATGTTCTGAAGATTACAGCACTCATATTATTCAAAATGTTAGTACAGTTTATGGAATAATTTTACAGTAGCCCAAGATACAGGAGTATTTTCATAGGATAATTCAGTTCAATGGCACTACACAGACTACTAGCTTTACTATTCTAGCATTCTTTACATGTACACACAGCACTTACACATTTAAGACAAAACTGGAGTTCATTCCTATCTGAATGTTTCAATGTTTTACATCCCTTTCCATTACAACACTTCTCACCTGTTTTTAGTAAGAAAGCGATCTGCACGTGGAATAACAACCTGAAGCGTGGTACTAGCTGTATAATCTTCCACCAGTTTAAATTTTGAACCAATGTCAGGTAAAACCAATGATGTTTTCACAGACTTTATAACAGCAGGTTCACCAGGTTCGACAGTCATCCCACGAACAGACACCTCATATTCTGATGATGGCTGCAAATCTTTCACCTGTAATGGTAAATAATCTGTGGATGTTATCTGCAAGTGTCAAGAGGAAACTTAAAACCAGAAAGAGTCAAAATAGAATCAGGGGCTTATAATAACCAGTTTACATGGCACAACCTACATCTAGGGAGACCCTAACCAGGGTGCTTAAAAGGCCCAGGTCTCAGGGCAGTATTTTAGTTAAAGAGGTTAACCTTCTTCAAAGACCCAGGGGCTCAATGTGGCCTGGGAGACCTTGATTATGGCCACCAATTAAAGACCACTGTAATACAGAGCGTGTACTATACTTTATGGGGCTGGTAGCAGATTAAGTGCATGAGGATTTACAAAATTCAACAAGTGTTTGCAGTTCAAGGTCAGCTAGGCATCCACCCATTTAAAATCTAATCTAAGATTTGCCTTCATTGTTTTACCATTTTCATGCTGCACACATTTTGGTTAGTTTCATTGGTCCTTCTGGTCTGAATTTATCTGATGTTAAGGTCATGTAGTGAGATGTGTCCTGCCATTTCCAATAGTTATAACTTGCTATATCTGACTTTAAACAATACAAATTACTCCTATTTAATTTCAAAGGGAATGCCCCAGTATAATTCCACCCCCCGTAGCCACCATTTGCCAAAAATTTGTGGCAATGCAATACATCATTATGCATTATAATCAAGTTCAATATAGTTTCATGCCGTTTTGCTTCCATCAGCTATATAAACAACTCCCTGAAACATTCAGCTGCACAAATATCATACACCAGTAGTTTTGCACTAACAAATAAAACCCACTCAGATAAGAAAGCACCTATGGCGACTTATGGAGAGAGTGGGGTTGTAACTTTGGGTCAGCAGTGTAAATAATGGCATTCCTAACCCAGGTAATTACAGTAAATGGGCCTGCTACTGGGAGAGGTTTTCATTACAAAATGGAAATATTACCCAGAAAAATGATATGTACAGTACAGTTATCCAAGATCCTGGCAGAACAGTTACAAATTCACTGCTTTCTTTCATTGAACTCTTCCAGAATGAAATTGTTTTGCACACACCCTGAATATCTATTACACAGCAGGAAAAACACATTAGTTTGAAATGAGTTACCAAGATTATCAGAGTAAGGAAGTCAAATACTACACAACGTTTGACTGACAAGTTCAAAAGAGCAGTTTTAAGTGTTGGCAAAAAAGAAAAGAAAAGTGTGCATTCAAAGAACAACTTCTTGGTGCAAGCCAGGAAAATAATGCCAAATATTTATCCATTTTATAGGGTAAAACCATCAATCAGCATTCTGTTGGAGATGTTCTAAGTGAAAAACATTTTAAATTTACTGCCACCCCTGCTTAAATCCATTATTGGTGGTGGACAAATTGTGGCACATCAATGACATTTTATTGTATGTGTTACTATAGGGATAAGCTAACAAAAAATATGTCTTCAAGTCAACATACAGAGAACTAAAGGGTCTATAAATAAAAGTTGTATTAAGATCATTTAACAATTACAGTCTACTCCAATAAAGATGTAGCAGCAAGACTGTGTCCAAAATAAAAAGTTGTGAGGGAAATAACGTTATGTGGTAGAAGAACAATTCTTGTGTTGAAAGCAACAAGCATATGAAGGAGCACAAAATACTGATGAATCTTTGCAGGAAGTGTAAATTTCAAGATTAACTTACTTCATATGAATAATTCATAGGATGATTTACTGTAAACTCCTTTTCAGGAAGTTCCCTGCTTCCGTTCTGTCTTCGTAGCTGCGATGAAAGTAATTTTACGCTTATGAAAAATTTCCTTAGAAGGCCATTAGTAATGCTGGGATGTTGCCATGCTAATTGTATGGCATGAGGAGTTCGTTTTATAACCCGCAAGTTTTCTGGACGTTCTGGAGCTGTGAACAAAGTGAGACCGTACAGATCCATTGCTTCATGTGTTGTGGGATTGTCATGTGCACATATATAATACATTCAAAAATTACAGTGCATAAAGACAGTCTGTCAACAAATGTGAACAATAAGATATTTCTTTCCTGTGTTTACTAATTTTGAATATTCAAACACTATCCAAAGATTTCATAAGATATAACATGTTACAGTGAAACCTCTATCCATCGTTCCCGGAACTATCGTTTTCCCGGATGCATCGTCCGTTTTGTTCGGTCCCGGATACATCCCATATAAAATAATGTTACATTTTCCCGCTTCTATCGTTCCTCGAACTATCGTTTTATCGCATCGATCGTTCAAAAATCTTAGTCCCGGCCCACAATTTTCCCGCAATGATCGTTCCTGAGAATTTAAAATGCTGGGTTTAGAGATAAATTAATACCGAAAGACGCACAATGTTTTTGGAATAAACAGTAGCGGTAACCTGTTATGTCGCCCAACCAGCACATTCTTTTGGAATGAGGGTCAGCGGTGCAGGGGTGATAGTTGGAGTGAATGGCGGTGC